TAGGTACAAAGAGCTGTCAATGGAGGATAGCTCCTCCAGAAGCTGATAATAATGACATCACACATCAACCCTACTCATTGGCACAGCTGTGTAAACACTGTGGTTCTATGGGATTTGGGCAGGAGCAGTTGATGTAACTAGTGTTATAGTTAGTAAAAGATAGAAAATAAGGGTCTGCCCAGTTTATAGCCATTTACAACAGTCTAGAGTGTTTACAAAGCAAGAGGCCATGATTTGTGGGTTTGTGAGTTTGTCACTGAGTAAGGAGATGCCGTTGAGCCTCTACCAGTGTAGGCCATGAGACCGAAGTTGGAAGAAGGGTTTAAATCACTGTTTTTCTAAGCATGTCCCACAGCATTCAGTCCTAAGATGCATTTTAGAGGCTGCATGTGGGTAATAGTTGGAAGGGGAAAACTTCTTAACCCTGTCTTTCTAAGTCATACGGCTCTGCTTTTATTTGTTTCATGTACAGAACTAGGTTGCTTGTGAGATTGTCTATAATAAATAGTGTTCAGTGCTTGGAAATGAAGTTTGCAAACCACGGGTTCTGAGGACTGACTTCTAGTAAAAACAAACAGAGAAAAACCTCTTCAGCTCAGCAACTATTGATTATTTCTGGGATCCACATACATCAATCCATAGACATTTGAAAGCAGCAAAAAGCAAACAACTAAACAAATAGATGTTTCTGTGTGTAACTACTGTGTCATCAGGAAACTCGTACTCAATATAAACAGGACTGAGACAGTTAAATGATGCAAACTGAGACAGTTAAGTGATAAGGAGAACAGGAGGCCAATTCTGGTGATAGTGCAGGTGACTGCCAAATTCTGTCCTCTTATGTAAGCAGTAGCCTGCATTTAAACTGAGATTAGTGTGAATTATGTGATAAAAACTACAATTTATGGAAAGCTTTCCATGTGCTGGGCACTGTACCTAGGGTGCAGCATCATTCTAGGAAGCAGAGGTTCTGTTATCCCCATGTTATGTACTGGGAAACGTGATTTGTCCAGTCCACACAGCTCATAAGGTTAAGGAGCTGAGCATCTATCCCTTTGGCTAAAGTTTATGCCCTTAAATGCTTTGCTGTATCATCTGTGTCTGTTAATCCCTTAATACTTTACACACACACACACCCTTTTTCCTCTAATGGTTTTGCTAAGTGGAGTCCCTGAGGGTGGCAAGTTTGAAAAGTATCTTGCCAGTTACAGCTTTATGGTCAATCCACGGAAAAACTGTCCTGTTACTTTTCACTTGGAAAGCTGAAATATTACATATAAATGGCCCTCACTGGTACAACAAAGAACACAAGAAAGGGAGCCAATATTGTAATTTTGACAATGTGTACTAATGTCAAGCTGACATGTGCAGCTCTGCAAGTGTGTATTTGTTCTGGCCTTAATGACTCAGGTGTAATAGACATTAGAACTCATTGAAACAGGTGACATTGCCAAGGTAGATGAGAGTAATCTGTGTGTGGGTTTTAAGTTTTTAAATCTTGGATATATTTCTCAGTTCTTAGCTTCTCTAATTATTTCTGCATTGTGGCTTCATTGAAGGCCTGTAAGTAAGGATGGGTCTGTGTTTGAGAGTTTTCCTTGACTGACTTCACACCCTTCCAAATGTGCATGTTCTATTCCTTCTTCTTGCCAGTAACTGGATGGTGTGTTAGAGTCTGCTGAAATTCTTGGTCAGTTGCCTCTGTTGGAGCAAAGTAGATCTTCTAAGGAGTGAATTGAGGTGTTCAAGTTTGTTTTTGTAGGTGCATTTGGAATATTGATTCCAAATGCCACGTGGCTATTTGAGAAACTATTTCACAGCACATCCAGGTGGCCCACACAGTCTGCCTTCACACATTGTGCCAAGCCTTTCAACAAGAAGAAAGCTTGTTGGGGGCTGGGGATTTAGCTCAGCGGCAAAGCGCCTGCCTGGCAAGCGCAAGGTCGTGAGTTTGGTTCCTGGTACCGGAGAAAAACCAAAAAAAAAAAAAAAAAAAAAAGAAGAAAGCTTGCAGTGAGCTCCTCTCAGGAAGCAAGTGAGGCTTTCTGGGGGAAGTGTGAGCTGGGATGAGTGCTTGAGAAGTATCCAATCATCTCTTTCAAGCCACAGGGGGCCCATTTGCCTTGTACAAATTCATAAACAGTGCCCTGTTAGCTGAAAAATGCTCATGTTCTTTCCCAAGTGCCTATTTCACTTTCTGAAAGTGACATTTTGTTGAAGAGTTGACCATACCAGATCTTTACAAAGAAACATATGCCCAGAAAGTTTCACTCTTGATCCTGCAGCAAATGATGAGGACATCGCTAAGCCAAAGGCCTTAGATGGTCCTCCTGAAGGGGAATGTGTTGGTTAAGGAGCTGAGTGAGAAAGTTGCTAACTAACACCTATCTAAGCTCTTGTGGATGAGTATGAGCTAGAGAGTGGTTGAGTGTGTGACCTGCCTTGAAATGACGAATGACTTATTAGTGCTTTCCAAAACATCTGTCTCTAAGAGGCAGTTGAAATTTCTACAAGGGAGTGTTTCCATTCATTGTCCATGAGAAAAGAGACTGAGTGGGAGTGAGTGATACACAGATTTGGAGGAAATGAGTCTGCTCCCACTTGGGATTACAATGCAGATGAATTCCATATTTTGGTTAGGGAATGTTTTCTTTGAAAAGAAAAGACAAGAAAGAAAATCTTAGCTGCTGACCTAGTTACTGGAAAGCAGAGTAAACTGTGTTACGTGTCTGCTGAAATAGTCACTGTAGTTGTTTTTATTTCTGTGTGTGTGTGTGTGTGTGTGTGTGTGTGTGTGTACATATGTACGTGCGTGTAAGAAAATGGGCTAGAATTTGCTGGCACTTTTCTGCTTTTGGCTCGATTTTCCTGCCAAGGTGGCCAGACCCTGCTGACAGGCTGCTTTAGAACTGCTGTGGTCAGCAGAGCTGTGGGTCCTTTACTGAATCAGCTCAGATCCATCACTTGAGGATTCAAATAAATACTATGTGTTTATCCTATTGATGAAAAACTGCAGTAGAGGTTTGTCTGGCTAAATTTTCAGTGTACAATGGGTAGTCCTATAAGAAGCAGCTGTCAGTTTTGAGTTAGAGATTTTTATATACCCACTCCTGTCCTGTACTGTATACATCCAGAAATGGTAAGGCTCATTTGTTTTTGCACATTGTGTTCAACATATGGTACCTGTGATGATTCAAAACTAAGGGTCTGAGCTCTTATACCTTCTGAAGTATCATTTGGCTGCAAACCCACTCTGTGTGGCAAGTACTATGCAAGAATCTGGTGTTGAGTAGGGAGACATACACCACCCTATCCTCACAGAGTTTGCTGTCTACAACAGCCAGGTTTTGATGCTTCTACAGCTTTGGGGCTTGAACTAGGGAATTCGTGGTGCCTGGGAGCTGCTGAAGTGTGACACTCCTTTCTCACAGGCCAGGCCTTCTCATTTCTGTGACTGTGCTGGTGGTGGTTGGTGACTGTCCTTGGTGCCCCTCACAAGAGCTAGGGAGGAGAGTGCTTGCCCACCTGCCTTCCCACCTAGCACATGTGTCCCCTGGAGGAGGGTCTGCCTCCAGCTCTCCAGACCCGTAAGTCCCTGCCTGGAATTGTGGGATTCAATCAAAGGCTCACACGGCCTCCACAACTTCCCAAGCCATTTGCCCTACCTCAGTTTACATGCAGCAGTGGTGCTATGTCTTGCCTGTTATTTTGTCCTGATTGTCATAGTGTACAAGTCCCCCACCCACCACCCCAAGTCCTCCAGCTGTGTGAAGGTGACCTGTCTAGGGAGGGAAAGCATTCGTCAGCCTGTGGGGCCTTCCTGTTCTGAGATTGCTGGAACCGTGCCCGAAAGGCAGCCTCACACAGAAGACCACACTCTCCCTCTGTGCTCTGCCCTCTAAGAGGAACAGCCCAGGGAGGATGAGCACACATAGGGTACACACCTGGGGTACCCAGGGAGCTCTGTGACACGTGTACCCCCTGTGGGCAGGGAAGGCCTAGGGAGGTGTCCTAGGGAGTGTTAACCAGGTGGGAGTCCTTGTGGTGGTACAGTGCAGAGTGCTCATGGCAGTGCAGTGGCACAGATAAAGACTGGACTTCCTGCAAGGGGGGTAGTAGTCTAAAGGGAAAGCTTCTACGGGAGAGGAGGCCTTGAGTGAGAATTTTAAGGGCAAGTCCGAGGCAGACCTGTGGAGATAAAGAGGGAAAGAGAAGAGCATGTGGTGGCAGGGGATGAGCCCAGTGGAAGCTGCGCTGGGCTTGCAGGAACTGCCCAGAGGAGTGGGCAAATTCCCTGTGGCCAGTGCTTCCCAGGATACAAATAGCAGCCACAGCTGAGAGGAGCCCATCAGGGTATCCTTGGAAGTCCCAGGAAATAAATCCCAAGCATCCTTTGCCAAGATACTGGGCAGAGGGACAAGGGCATGTGGATGTGGCAGCCTTCTGAGGGGAGCCTGTGGCTATGCTCCTAATGGGGCACAGCACATCTACCATTCAGAAGGCCCTACTGTCTAGGGAGGGAAAGCAAGCAGCAAGCCCTGGGGTAGTGTGGGGCATGGTATAAAGTGTTACCTTTCCTTCCTCTGGCAAATCAGAGTCATCATATAATGCTGGAGAATTTATTTCTGAAAGATGTGGAAGTAGTTGGACAAAAATTTAGTAGTAGTCTTTTAAAATGAAACTAAAGGTCATACAGCTATTAAATTTCTGACTTCCCTCTTAAAGTAGACTCTTGTAATAATTCACATTCAAAGGATTCAAATGTTGTTTATACTACAGAGGAATTTTTTAAACCCTAACCATTGTGGTCTACTCTCTGCCATTTGTGGGCACGGAGGTACAGAGTACTGACTACCCTCCTTTAAGGAGGTACGTGGGTGCTCGTGGCTGCTGTGACTGTCCCCATAGTCTTGTCATGAAAGTCTGAACTAAGAACTGTCTTGTGTGAATTTGCAGCATGGTCTTTTATGGTTTTATTTTTTGTTTTCCTTCTTCTTTAGCACTACTGGATCCTCTGTCACAGGAAGGTTGGGACCTGTTTTAGTAACTGTTGGTTGCCAGACTGGTCACATACTTCACTTTCTACAAAAGTGAGTAAGAGGGACCTTACTTCCTTCCAGAGAACTTTTAACTGGCCTAGCGAAGAGCCAGGACAGAGGTGATGTGTTAGGGTTTGCCTTTAAGTTGTCCACACTAGAGTTCACATGACGTGACTCCACAAGTGGGTCTATGCTGGAAATGTGCTTGGTAGCCTTCTTCACTGATTCCCATATCCCAAGGCCACTTGGGGTAACTCAGCAGTGGATGGGAAATCTCAGAGGAAGTGCTTATAAGCCTTGGGCCTTGGAGTGTGTTTATATTTTATAACCAGTGAACACTTGCAAGGTGTTTTCCCTGCTCATCTCCTGCATCCTAGGTGCCCGAGACTCTCCCCACCTAGAGACCCTACTCATTGAGAATCTACACTGACAGCAGGTGGGGAGCTAGGGCCAAGGGGATGTGACAGATACTTGGGGAGGTGGAGATACTCACTCCAGGGCAGTATGTCAAGCAGTTAATTAAGGAATGCACTTCCTGTAAGTGCGAAGTAAGGAGTTTTCTGTCCCTTTGTTCTTAGTGCTATACTGATGCCATTTTCTCCAGTGGAGACCTCAGGCTCTGCCCAAACCCTTCTATGAGTCTTTTTGGCAATGCTAGAGGTCACTGTTGAACCGTCACCATGGGCACGGAACATCACAGACACTGGGGTTTCCTTGTTGTTAAAGGTCAAGTATGTGTGATGAAACCCTCCATGTCCCCTTAGCAAGGGAGGAGTTGCCAAACAGGGTGGTGAGGTTTGCACAGATGGGCACATGACTCCCAATCAGCCCTCATGAGCCTCTTTAGTAAGGCTATTGTCTGTCTTTGTGGAAGTGGAGCTGTTGACCAGAACCTCAGTTAACACCATGAATTATATAGCTAGTTCTGCTTTATTTTTTCAAATAAACCAGAATGAATGGAATGTCACATAATTGATGTGTTTCAATGAAAAATGATCAAATCATGGTCATTAGCATATCTATCTCCTTAAATGTTTATCATTTATTTTGGAAACCTTGAATTCCTTTCTTTATACATATATTCCTTTCTTTATATATATATAAACTACATAATAAATTGATGTATAAACTACATAATAAATTGTCAGATGTAGTTACCCTCTTGTGCTGTAGAACCACAAGGCTTATTTCTCCTTCGTTACTTTAATTTCTCGTTTGTGGGTCACAGCCAGTTATAGAAAGGCAGTACCAGCAGGTTGCTTGAATAGATGTCACAGGCCATAGGTGCCCAGAACTCTCCCAAATACCTCTACTGCCACCCAGCTCAGAGACACTAAAGATGACCTGTGCAGTTCTCCTTGCAAACAGTTCCTGCTGGTGGCTATTATGCCCTCTGCATTCTGAAGGCTGTGAATGTGAAGCTGTGGTGGTTCCTGTAAAGGACAGCTGAGGCCAGACCTCTGGCCTATTGAGACCAGTGACACATTTTAGATCTGCGAGGAGGAACTTGCTTGGAAACCATTGTTTTTGGAAAGACACATCTTGTTTCTTCCATCAGTTTTGCAGCGTTGGCAGATAAAATGCTGCTGCCTAGAGATCATTACCAGTCTCTTTTTAAGGAAACAAACAAGACAGTGTCCCAATTCAGTCCCTTTTCATTTATTACACAGTGCATGGCTGAAATGTTACCAAAGATGACTGGAAGAGTTCCATTTCATAGTTTAGTCAACATAGAACATGTCTCTTACTATACAGGAAATGGAGAGGGATGGACATCGTCTGTTTTCTGTTTGCTACATTGTTCAGCACTTTGGTGGTATAAAATAAATGCAAATAAATAGGGGTCTGTTTTACTGAAGGAAGGAAATTGCTGCAGAGAGTGTTTTGTATACATGTATGCACTTTAAAAGCCTGTTTTAACATACTGTGGTAATCACCTATGTAGGTCACTTACAGTTTTTCTGCAGAGTCACACGGCCTTTATGAAATATTGAGAGAACATTAAATGCTACACTGTGTAGTGTTGACCAAGTACACTGTGAGATCAAAGAAGGAAGAGATCTGTGTGGGCTAAAATTGAATTAAAAAGTATATCTTAACTACCTTTAAAGGGAAGCAATTGAAAATGCTTACTTCTTAACAGTACACAGAATATGGCTGGTTCTTACAGAAGTTATGTGTGGCTGTAAGGAAAATGCCACGCATGGCTGTAGCAGCTGCGTGGCTTTAAAACTCATTCCACCAGCCCATAGCCTCAGATGCTAATGTGGGGAGCCTGGCCAGAGACCCAGGCAGACTATGGGGTCTTATTCCCTGCCCTAAGTGATAGCCTGGAATTTGGGACAATTCTCAGTTTCAGTGGGGGTGAGGAGGTATACTCAGAGGTGATAGAAAAGATAATCTCTTGACAAATACCTTTTGAATAATAATAGCAAAACCACCTTTATTGAGCACATACTCTATACCAGGCACTGTGCTAAGCACTTCACTTTTATTTCTCACAATAATTCAGTGAGGTAGTAAGGTAAGTGCTACTCCTGATTTCACAGATAAGGAAAGAGAAAGGGCATGAGGGAGTATCTTAGTTGATTTGTGCTGCAATAAACACTGGGTAATTTATAGAGACCAGGAATATATTTCCTACAGTTCTGGAGACTGGGATGTACGAAATCTAGTTGCCAGCATTGGTGTTGGCCAGGGCTTTTGTCTGTTCCCAGCTAGTACCTTGATCCTGTGTCCTTACTTGGAGGAAGAGAGAAGGGCAAGGAAGCTCTTTATAAGAGTATTACTCTTATGTGTGAGGGGAGAGCCCAAGTTACATAGTCACTGCTCAAAGGCCATATCCCTTAGTACCACTGCATTGGGATTTAGTGTCAACGTTAGTTTTAGCAGGGACACCATCATTCAGATCATAGCAGGCGTCTAACACATGTGCCATGGGTTCTCGCTCTGCCGTGAATGTCAGAACTAGGAAGTGCACATGTCTGGCTTATACTCTGAAGAACTTTGGCGCTGGACCACTGAATGATAGAAAGGGTATGTGGTATGTGGCTGCAGACCTTAGGGGGGTGGGACTATATGAAGAGGTGATGGTAGCTCCTCCTACAGGGGTCCTGTGGGGAAGGGAAATTATGCTAGGGCAGGTATGGTTGCTGACCTTAGAGTTGTTGAAGGAACTAAGTGAGTGGAGGGGCTGGGGATTTAGCTCAGCGGCAAAGTGCCTGCCTGGCAAGCGCAAGGTCGTGAGTTCGGCTCCCGGTACCGGAGAAAAACCAAAAAAAAAAGAACTAAGTGAGTGGAAGTAATGCTGCATGGGCAGTTTTTGATTCTGGGGACAACTATACTGTGGTATAGTTGCAAATTCAGGTTGGCAGTAGGCATGAGTAGAACTAGCTGTGTAAGGCAGCAGGGAGTAGTGGAGATGGGGGATAAATGAAAGTGCCTGTGCCTTGTCTAAAGCCAGTAACCACTACTAATTTTATCCTTGTTACCATGTGGAAATGTGGGCCCAAGATTGTCAAGTGTGCTGATATTTTTCCACCAGAAACCTGGGTTTTTACATTGTCTTCTAGTCTTTGAATGTTTGATACTGATTTTTAAAAAATTAATGGGTCAGTTATTGTTTATAAGCTTCCAATTTGTAACCCCTGGAGAAGTTTGAATAGAAATTAAGCTATAGATATTGGAAACCCAAGAACAGACTAGGATAGCAGGTACATCTCACTCTGTGGATCCACATCAGGTGACAGTCACCTGGAGAGCTTGTGAAATGTGGATCCTGATTGAGGCGGTCCAGGGTGGGCCTGATGGTGCAGAACAAGGGCCTTGGTTGAGAAGGATTCAAAGGTAGCACCTAGGCACAACTGGGAAAGTATTATGATGAATGAGTGCCAGCTACTGAGGACAGAAAAAAGGAAAATGGGCTCACATGCTACCATTGCTGTGGCATACCCAGATCGCAAGGTAAATGCTGTGTTATGGTCATTTCTAGGGTTCCCATATAGAGCAGAATTGGTGAGAAGCTTTTGAACTTTACATTCTTTTTATACACATTCCTTCATGCTGAAAAAAAAAAGGCAACAGTCTCATCTCCGTCATCTGAGAAATAGAGATTGGACTATTATTAAGCTTTCAACTTGGGTGGGATGCAGGGAGAGTTAACTGATTGGCTCTCACTTCTCTGTACTTGAGGGTGAAAAATATGTCTTGCATATGTTGGTGTTCTGTTACTTCCATGTGGCCTTGGCATCCCTTCAGCTTGGGGTCTGTGGGAGGAGGAAAGGGTGGGTGCTAAGGAAATTGCTTTGAGCAGAAATCATCTTGTTTCCATTCACTAAGAGCTGTTCTTGGAGCCCTTCTCCGAGTCCCCTGCCTGTGTTCAGTGCCCTTGGAATTGTATGCCAGGAAACAATATGATCTTTCTAATTGGGCAAGTGGGAGGAGAAGGCCTGTGAGCTGGGATGGTTGGCAGTTGACACCTAAAAATAGATCTTTTTTCCTTATGAATTAACGTTTTGGGGAGCAAAAAGCCTTGCACATTTTTAACCATTCTGGACCAATGTTGCCTTGGAAAGTTAAAGGGCTGGGGGCCAAGTGGGTCCAGGTACAGGCAAGTGGTTGCAATACCAGCCAGACTGAAGTTGCCATGGTGACTGCACCCCTTGGAGAACCCTTCAGTGACCTCCAGGGAGTAGAGGCAATCTCTGATCCAGGGTGGAAGTATATGGGCAGGGGACCTGTGGGAGGAGAATACTTCTGGGCAGTGCTTCTTAAATTTGAGTGTGCCTATGACGTGAAAAGCAGCCTCTGATTCCAGGGCTCTGGGCTGGGATCTGAGTTTCTGCAGTTCTCAACAAGTTTCCTTGTGACATGAATGCTGCTGGCCCAGGGAGTGCACTTTGAGTTGCAAGGGCAGCAATACATCTGTGATCATCAGGGCTTTGAGGAAGGGCAAAAGCAAGCACATGAAGAAACTAGCCTACTTTGTTTATATTAAATTTGGCCTAAGCTAAAGGAAAGCAAGTGTTGGATAGTTGTGTCTGGTTGTATTG